GTACGATTATAATTAATATAATCGACTAGTTTCTCTTTTTACTGAGTGCGGGTTGGTAAATTTGGATCTTGTTAACTATTCCCTCCTATGGCAAATTAATGGTGATTCAGCAACTATTACAGAATAATAGGGGTTGACCTCCTTAAATAAAAAACAAGCCAAAAACTTTCAAAAAAATTACTTCACAAAAAATGCTCGTCAAACAATTTTTGCTCTATGGGAGTTGTGTGACAAAGAAAAATCATCAATTCTTACGTTCTACGAAAAGATGATTTTCTGAAATGACTTTACCTTAACCTAACTATTTTTGAGTACGAATTGCTAAAAAAAAGGAATTAAAATTTAAAAAATTCTGCTTTGAGCATTTTTGAAAATTTAAATTTGTCACTAGCTATTTTTTTGGTGGAAGGTTCAAGGCCAAGCAAATTGATGAATATTTTTGTCACAAAATCAATTCTGTACTCAAATAAAAAAATTTCTATCATGTATAACTGAAAAAAGGTGAAACCCATTTTTTAATTTAAAATTGGTACCCAACATTCGTCCAATCAAAAATCAACCAGACTTTTGAATCAGCCAAAAAGACTGGTTGAATCTAAGAATCAGCCAAAAAGACTGGTTGTTTTTGCCAATCTTAGAAATTGGGTGATTTTCTCATACAACATATTCTGTTCATGCAGTTCAAATATTGATTTCAAATGTCGTTCTAGCATTCATAGCTCAGAGTTACTGTGACGGTAATGTTCATGGAAGAACAGCATTTTTGTCAACACGGTCAGTGAAAGGACTTAGGGGGGATATTGTCATCGTCATCGATTTGATCTCATGGCTACAGTGCAAAAAAATTGCTTCAATGGAAAAAATTTCGTATATGCTGAACTGTTCAATTCTGTCTTTATAGGGGGGGGGGGGGGGGGGGGTAAATTTTACTAGTTACATTCTGTTTCGAAAAAATACTCTAGCCTTGTCATAAGGAATTACATTTTGTACGAAGTGCAAATAGTTTTGTTTTTCATAAATTACCTCGGAGTATCAAGCAATCAGCCATAATAGTAGTTAAAATAACTATGAAAGCAGAACATTTTAAACGTGGACGGAAAAAACTAAAAGAAAAATTAGGAAAATTGCAATAGCATGAAAACTAATGGTGATTTAGCAACTATTTTAGATCAATAGGGGTGACCTTTTTAAAAAAAAAACAAGCCATAAATTTTCAAAAAAATTACATCAGAAAAAATACTCGTCAAACCATTTTTGCATTATGGGAATTGTGTGACAAAGAAGTTAAAAAGTCATCGAATTTTACGTTTTATGAAATTTTACGTTTTCTGAAATGACTATACATTAACCTAACTATTTTTGAGTGCGAATTGCTAGAAAAAAAAGTAATTAAATTTAAAAAAGTTTCTGCTTTGGGCATTTTTGAAAACTTAAATTTGTTACTGGCTATTTATTTGGTGGAATGTTCAAGTGCCAAAAAAACTGATAAATATTTGGGTCACAAAATCAACTCTGTGCTCAACAAAAAATCTTGAAAATACTTTTGCATCATGTATCACTAAAAATGTCAAACCTATATTTTAATTTAAAAATGGTGCCCGACACTTCGTCGAATAAAAATCGAGCAGGCTTTAACAATCAACAAAAAAGACTGGTTGTTTACGCCAGTCTTAAACTGGGTGATTTTCTCATACCACTGCTTCAGAGCTATTAGTATTTCATGACATATTCTTATACAGTTTAAATATCGATTTCAAATGTCGTTCTAGCATTCATAGCTCAGAGTTACTGTGACGGTAATGTTCATGGATATTGGAAAAACAGCTTTCTTCATCGATATGATCTCTTGGCTACAGTGCAAAAGTTTTTCGCAATGCAAAAAGTTTGGGTAGAATAGGGTCTTAATATGGTTTAGCCAGATCTCAGAAAATCAATTTGGTGCTTTTGCGGAAATCGAAACAAATTTTAAAATACTTTTTCTTTCGAAAAACCTCGCCAAGCCAAGTGAAAATTTTTTGCCGTGCTTTTCTGAGTTTCTGCTGTTTTGTGAAGCTATAAATTGCTGGACGCTCTGAAATCATAAGGGGCAAAAAATTGCCCCACTTTCTTCAGGAAAATTTAGTTAAGATTCAGAAAAACTCAGAAAAACGAGGAATAGAAATGCTTGGGGTGTTTTTTTTTCAAAACCTTTCCAAAAAATATGTCTTTGAATGAAAATCGAACCTGGAGCTTACGATCTCCCAACCGAGTGAGCTACCCACTATCCTAAGTGCACACTGATATTAGGTAAACGGCTCTGTTAATACTAAAAAACTAATCTATGATGGTGAAAAAATAACAAAAGTTATTTTACCGCAAAAATATTGAAAAGGGAAATCAAGCAAGTTAATTAGTCATTTTATGTCTTTTATTGATTCATAAGAACCACAAAAATAGTCAAAATTTGATATTGACAATTCAAAATTTAATTCGTCAATATTTTTTTTCCAAAAAAAACTGATAGAGATCAAATAAAGGGCAGCAGAATAGGCAGCGTTTTGCCCTGATATACTAGCAGTGTTCTATTAGATTATAAAAAGTTGATCATTCTATTCCTCAAGACTTGCCGTTGAAATAATAGAAATGTCCAGTTGATTTCAAACTGAAACATTGCAATCGCGATTCATTTTTAACATTACAATCGAGTTAAATAGTGATTTACTTTTTATTTAACTACAAAGATAACAAAAAAAAACTGTTGTTCCAGATTTCGAGGACAATGGTAGAAAATCAACGCATAACGAAACAGCGTTTTTTTTAATAAGATCATTTTTCTTGATACAGAATTTGCATAGGAAGTTTTAAAAGACAGTCGAATAGTTTGAGGCCCCGTTTCAATTTAATTTTTTTTTGTTCTGACTATTTGAAATGGGAGGGACTTTGTAATCGGGTTTTTGCAATTCACAGCAGAAGAATCCTTTTCCCCGAGAATATGCTGAATTAAAAATTTTTAGATTGATCATTTACAAAAAGGTTTGTTTTACATACAGTGGAAATCAGTTATAACAAGTTTGAGTAAATTGAGATTTGATGTGTTTGCTGTCCTGACTGATTAAAAAATGTGGAGGAACTTTGTATTCGGATGTGTTTTTTTTTGCTGTTTTCCGCGCAAAATCAGGTACCGCAAATCATCATCGGAATGGTTCGAGTAGTTTGTCAAATTCAAGCTCTTTCAGTCTTGATTTTTGCTTCGAACGACAGCAAAACATTTTCAAAAAATTGCTCAAGTTTTTAGAAAAGAACTAGTTTAAAACGTTTCAGTTTTAGTTCAATTTCGAGCAATTAAAGCAAGCGAGCAAACTTTTTGTAGATGGATAGGCCATGAATTTTTTTCCAGCCCATTCTTGGGAGTAGAAGTTTTAGAAATTCAAAAAATTATCAGCAAAAAACCTTGAAAAGAAAAGTTGTGAAGTTATCGTTTAATTTTTCAAATATTTTTGTTCTTGCTGTTTTTTTAGAAATTTAATGTCCAATTTGCCTATTTCACTGTGATTCTCGTATTTGCCTAGATTCTATGCTTTTGTCATACCTGTTTATCCCACCACGCCCAAATAACGACCCTTATTTGAAAAAGAACCTACGTATTCTTTTTGGAATACGGTTGGAACACTCTGTGCTACTTCAGCAGCAACCGGCTATCCTTGTTTATATTTTGGTGTTGTTGGGAGGGTAACAACTTCAATTGTGTCAGTAAGACATAATTGATATTGGATCCTTATATCTTTATAGTAATTATTTGCTGATGTTTTTAACTTAATTTTATATGCAGATAACCATGATTTTTTCATTTCTTTTCCTGTCGCTTAAAATAGTAAATTACGTTTTTTTTCTGAAACACTATTCCAGATATCGTAAGTTTTGGCTTGAAAGATTGAAAATGATTCCAACTCATAGTTAAGAACGAGGCTTAGAAGTAAATCCAAGGGTAGAAGGATCAGTAGTGTCGGATTTTTTTGTCAATTAAATCAGTTTAACTGATTATTGATAATTTTTTAGGTAAAAACTGAATTAGAAGGCTATTCTAAAACGCAAAATAAGAATCTTGACTTCCTATATTTTTGGATTAATAATGCGTGCCTAACAAACAGTTTCCGATGATTGCGTACCGTGTGCGGTGATTTATATCATTCCAAACTGAATTCAGAACACTTGTCATAAATGAGAAATATATCACTGTGTACTTGACATTGCGTGTGAAAGAAATTTAAAACGTTGAAGAGAAAATTACCACAAATCTTTTAAGGGCAGTTGAAAAACTTAGTGCTTTGCCCTGATAGGAGCAGTTTTTTTCTCTTATTTTTTGAAAACTTTTCCATTGGATCAGAATGCATTTTGATATACTGTTTTTAGCTCCCAACATTTTTTTCAGAAAATTCCTGCAAAAGGTTTCCAATCTGACAATCCCTCCAGTTTTTGTGCCTCTGAAATAGTTTTCTTTCCCCCAAACAACTAATGCAAGCAGATTTTGAACGCCATCGAGTTTTCAATGAACAGGGAAGCGGAGGTGAAGTTTTTACGTCTACTTCTCTCAGTCGAAGGGTCGGATGTTCGAGGCTCACCATGATCCGTGCTCGTTGCATGAGGGTGAGGCAACATTACACAGCCCAGAAAATTTACCAAAAAATTTATTTATTTTTATTTATATAACATTTATTTTTATAACATGCGCCAAACGGGCTCAAAGCCACAAGCCAGCACTCCGATTCTATTTTGTGTTATCGAACTTGTCTGCAATATCAATAAGAAACCCTTCAAGAGGAGTTGGTTTCCTTCACAGAAGTGCCTTTTGGATGCTCAAAATTTTGTACGCTATGTAAAATACTAAGGGTGTGTTGGCGTCTCGTATTGTGATAAAAGGATTAAATTTCTGTCCTGCGATAATAGGATTAAATTGATAATACGATTAAATTCAATTTGGAACGCATTAATTCGCTTCTTACGCATCTTATAAGTACGCAATATAGTCGGAGAACCGCGGCCTAATAAACAGGTTAATGTCTAGTAATTTGGCCAATTATTATCCCAAAATGGCCAAATTAGCAATTTTCAAATGCCTTAATTTTACGGTCACAGGTGATAATATCTTTTTAAATTTGAGCTTCCCGCACTAAAGTTTCAAGGATAATGATCGATTATATTAGATTTTCATTGTCAGTTTCTATAAAATATCAAAAATAATCGCATATAATCGACTGAAAATGGATTATACTGATAATATTTTGTAAACAATAAAATCCCCATATATTCGATTATAATCAATTGGGGGTGGGGGGGGGGGGTACGTCGTGGGGGAGGGGTACGTCGTGGGGGGGGGGTACGTCGTGGGGGGGGGGGGGTTACTTGGGGATGATACGTCGTAGGGGGGTACGTCGTGGTGGCGGAGGGTATGTGGGGATGGGGATACGTGAGGGGGGGGGGGGGGGTTATACGTCGTGGGGTAAGGGGGGAGTACACTTTTAGGAAAATTTTTACATATTGGACTCTTCAAAATTACTACATATTGGCCGCCCCTGGATGAACGAGTTCGTTCGAGTTTTGCAGAAAGTTGCAAAAATTAGAGTCATTTTTTTACAAAAACTAATCAATTTTCATGATTTCATATAAAAAAAATAATCCATTATGTTGAAAATAAAAACGGATTATAATCGATTATAATGGATTTTAATGGATTTTTTTTTTTCAAAAATAAGTGATTAAAATGGATTAAAAGTACATTACGTTGCCTAAGTTTGCCATGATAATCGATTATATAGACAACATTTTAGTCAACAAAAATCCAGTATAACCAATTTTTATCCATGAAACTTCGGTGTGGGTTAGAATAAGAATATCTCTCAGCTGGTTTAAAAATATTTTGTCAAGACCGCTTAGTTAACAAGTCGTTTGCAATTCAAAAGAGCAAATTACCTATTTCAGAAAACTTTTGCATTCAAGAGTTAATTTTTCAGACAGAAAAAATTACTCAAGGTCAGCTAAAAACTCAAATTTGCATACAAAAATTCCTCAAAATTGGCACCTTGCTCTTTTTAATTATTTCTGTCTGTCCGACCTTTTTGCATATTTCGATAAATTTACGCATGTTTCAATAGTTGAACTGGTTTAGTGTAAACTTGACACGCGCAAAAATTAGCGAACAAAAAACCATTGGCATAGACCGGTAGCCAATCAATTTTTGACCTTAAAAGGACATCATGGTTCATTTTGCCGAGAAATTACTATCGAGATTACGTAAAGACTTTTGAACAATTTCTTTAATTTTAACCTTGCTTATTTGCTGAAATCGTTTTGAGAATTTTAATGGCAACCTCAGCGGTAGAAGACGAGAGACTGGAGTCCCCGCTGGGTCCGAGGTACCGAAGACCGCGCCTACCGACAACCTCGGGAGTCTCGGGTCTTGCCGATCGCTACAATTATGGAACTATCATTCATAACCGAGTTTTCATTGGCGGGTTGCATAGTAGCGTGACCGAAGAAGATCTCAGAAAGAAATTCACCGAACATGGAGAAATATCGGAGATTAAAATTATCAAAAAACCCGAGCAGGAGAAAGGATACGCTTTCGTAACATTTCAAGCTCCGGAAATTGCTAAGAAAGTTCTAGAAGAATCTGGTTCTCGGGTGAAGATAAACGGAATGGATTCCAAACTCGGACCAGCGATCCGAAAACCTAGTACGACGGATTCCCCTCCGAACGACGCTGGGTTTAAGAAGGCGGGATTTGTAATGCAGCCGATGTTGACGCCAAAGAGAAGCCGACTGACATCGTGTCCCGATGGAGAGTTCGGGTTGGGTTACGACCCATCAAACCCAGCGCCTATTCCCGTGCCCATATCAGGAACACAGGCTCCAAACTCGAGTAAATTAGACCGCCATTTTATTTATCATGTACTCAATCCCCCGGAACATAAAATTGGAGAACTAAAGTTCAAGCTGTAGTTAATTAGTTAATTCCTGTAAAATAAAGGAAGATATTATTTAGATAGTTTTGCATCAACTTTTGCTTTTTTAACTTGAAAACTAAGCAATGTGTATAGCTTTGCTAGATAGAATTTATATGTTGAAGGATCGGAGACACTTCAAAATTTGGGTGGAATTTTGAAGTGGGTACAAACAATAAATTCCGTCATCAAAATGATCTTTTTCAGCACCGGAAAGACCCTACAACACAAACCAAAATTTGCTGAGCCAGTACAGCCATCACGAATTGAACCAGATCTTACTGGCTGCGAGACTTATGCAGGCATCCAGCAACTTTTTAAACGTCAATCCAGCGGCCATAACACAAGCGCTGCTGATGAACCAGATGCAAATGAACAACAACAACAACAACAACAACATCAACAATAATAATAACAACAATAACAGTCCTCGATCTCCAAATGGGGGTTTCAATACGGGGACGACCAGTCAAGAACATGTTTTCTTTCCAAGCTCTTTCACTGGATCACCAACCTACGCGACTGCTGCAGTTTCCCAGAACGGATCATCGCATCAGGTGCAAGGGGTTCTGACCGGACATCTGGGATCCCTGGCGCCTCCTATGACTCCTTTGTCTCCTATGAACTTCGCTTTGCAAATACCTCAGACCAGCAACCAAAATATATATGCCCAGTCTTATGAACAACATCAACAAAATCAACAACATCAGCAGCAAGCTCAACAAAATCAGATGGCTTTCAATAATGCTTCGCAGATAATTGCCAGTGCTGCTAATTTAGGACTGGATCTGAACCCTGGAAACCTAAACCTGATCGGAACACAAATGAATGGAGTTGGGGGGCAGCACGTAGAACAACAACTCGGATTGAGCGGGGGTGGTGCAGGTAGTTTGAATCACGGGTCGTGGCAAGGTGTTTCGGGTCAGCAGTCGGCAGCAGTAATGATGCATTCACCTTTGGCAGCTTCGATGCCTTCGGGTAGTGGATTTTTGGGAAGTATACCCGAGCAAGGAAATATGGGAGGTACTTTCCAGTTTGACATTGAGGCAACATCGAGCCCAGAATAAATATCGAATTATCGATTTGAATAACTGCAAAAAAAACTTGAATTGAATTGTGACTAATGACAAATTTATAAAGTAAATTTTGTAAATGCGCTAAATTAGTATTCTCAGTGACTTATTGAATTGAGTTGATATATTTATAACTCTAGTAAATTGGAAAGGTTGAAAGTTTGAATTCACGTATATGAAACATTGGCGAGCCAGAAACTTCATTCTGAGAAAAGATTTCCTGTTGATCGCATGAAGATAATTTATCTTCAAGGGTTCGGAAACACTTTTTGTCCGTAGTCTGTAACAATTATATTCGATATCGCAAACTGCAGTATTTAAGGTCCTTGCAGAACAAAATACAAAGAGGTAGATCGTCACCATTTAAAATTGCTCTTTTATCTTGCATTACTCATTACTTGAAATGCATCAAATTGTTCAGAACTCTTTTAGAAGTGAGAAATCGTTCTTTTGACACGCAAATTTGGCGCAGAGTAAAAAAAGCCTAGAATTTTAAAAGCAGGTGTATTTATAGTAACTTACAATATCCGTTTTTTAACCAGACAGACCATTAAAACGTCGCGAGGATTGTTCAGCCCCAAACTAATCTGCAATTTTGAGGCAAGAACGTGGAACGTTAATTCTGGCAATTTTTCCTAAGACAATAGCGGCAAGCGTCAGTCTTTTCTTAAGCCGCGCTGACAGTCTTTTCGTAAGTCACGACGCTTAAGTATTTTCTAATGTCGCGACGTTGATCTTTTCGTAAGACGCACCGTCAGCATTTTCTTAGTCGCGCCGTCAGTCTTTTTTAAAAAAAGTCGCGGCGTCAGTATTTCAGAAAGACTTCAGCAGCGGGGCTTAATAAACGACTCACGGCGGCACCTAACTTACTTCAGGGAGTCGGAAGTAGTTTTAACGAAAAGTCAAGCTTAAAACCTGAATTTATTTGTGAATTTATGATATCTGTGTACTGACATCATTCATTTACGATTTGTCATTTGGTAGAAACTCGTTGTATACAATTGTCAAGATAATATGACGAAGCTGAGGAAATCCATAATCTTGCCCACTACTATTAGCGATATTAAATAGGAAAAGGGTGAAACACGGGACAATCAGAGAAACTTTGAATCTCCCGAAACCAGTTGGCACTTATTCAATCGTAACAAAATCTAACTTTTAAAATTTTACAAATCAGAGCTACTTTCTTTGAAGTATTGTGACTACTTTAAGGTGTATGAAATTTGGAATAGTTTACTTGCAACTTAGCAGTTGCACGGACACTCGCTGTGATAAGCGCGTCCTATTACATTACGAAAAGACTTACGAGAAGACTGACGGGAATTTTACCAAAAGACTGACCGCGCGACTTAAGAAAAGATTGACGGTGCGACTTGAAAAAAAAGACTGACGGCGCGACTTGAAAGAAAAAGACTGACGGCGCGATTTTAGAAAAAAAAACCTGACGGCGCGGCTTACGAAAAGACTCACGATGCGACTGACAAAAAAATCGACGGCGCGCTTGGAAAAAATACTTTAGCTGCGCGACTTTACAAAATGACTTCAGCGGCGCGACTTACGAAAAGACTGAAGACGGGACTTAAGATAAAACTAATGGCGCGACTTACATAAAGACTGTCGGCGATGTTTTTTTTGCGGCGCGACGCAAGGAAGACTGTCGGCGTGACTTGAAAAATTTAAAAAACTGACCGCCCTTCTTTTGAAAAAGTTTCAGCTGCGCGATACGAACAAAAAGACCGATGGCGTGATTTAAGAAAAAAAACTGACGGCGCGAATTAGGAAAAGACTGACGGCGTGACTTAACAAAACACTTTAGCGGTGCGATTTAAGAAAAGACAGATGGCGCGACTTAAGGAAATACTGACGGCGCGACTTAAGACAGACTGACGGCGTGAATTAACCAAAGGCTTTAGCGGCGCGACTTAAGAAAAGGCTCACGGCGCGACTTAAGAGAAGACTGACGGCGCGACTTAAGAAAAGGCTCACGGCGCGACTTAAGAGAAGACTGACGGCGTGACTTATGAAACGACTGACGGCGCGACTTACGAAAAGACTCACGGCGCGAATTCAGAAAAGACTGACGGCGCGACTTAAGAAAAAACTGACGGCGTGAATTAACAAAAGACTTTAGCGGCGCGACTTAAGAAAGACTCACGGCGCGACTTAAAAAAAAGACTGACGGCGCGACCTAAGAAAAGACTGACGGGCATGAATTAACAAAAGGCTTTAGCGGCGCGACTTAAAAAAAGGCTCACGGCGTGACTTAACAAAATACTTTAGCGGCGCGATTTAAGAAAAGACAGATGGCGCGACTAAAGGAAAGACTGACGGCGCGACTTAAGAAAGACTGACGGCGTGAATTAACCAAAGGCTTTAGCGGCGCGACTTAAGAAAAAGCTCACGGCGCGACTTAAGAGAAGACTGACGGCGCGACTTAAGAAAAGCCTCACGGCGCGACTTAAGAGAAGACTGACGGCGTGACTTATGAAACGACTGACGGCGCGAATTACCAAAAGACTCACGGCGCGAATTCAGAAAAGACTGACGGCGCGACTTAAGAAAAGACTGACGGGCGTGAATTAACAAAAGACTTTAGCGGCGCAACTTAAGAAAAGACTGACGGCGCGACTTAAGAAAAGACTGACGGCGCGACTTAAGACAGACTGACGGCGTGAATTAACCAAAGGCTTTAGCGGCGCGACTTAAGAAAAGGCTCACGGCGCGACTTAAGAGAAGACTGACGGCGCGACTTAAGAAAAGGCTCACGGCGCGACTTAAGAGAAGACTGACGGCGTGACTTATGAAACGACTGACGGCGCGACTTACGAAAAGACTCACGGCGCGAATTCAGAAAAGACTGACGGCGCGACTTAAGAAAAAACTGACGGCGTGAATTAACAAAAGACTTTAGCGGCGCGACTTAAGAAAGACTCACGGCGCGACTTAAAAAAAAGACTGACGGCGCGACCTAAGAAAAGACTGACGGGCATGAATTAACAAAAGGCTTTAGCGGCGCGACTTAAAAAAAGGCTCACGGCGTGACTTAACAAAATACTTTAGCGGCGCGATTTAAGAAAAGACAGATGGCGCGACTAAAGGAAAGACTGACGGCGCGACTTAAGAAAGACTGACGGCGTGAATTAACCAAAGGCTTTAGCGGCGCGACTTAAGAAAAAGCTCACGGCGCGACTTAAGAGAAGACTGACGGCGCGACTTAAGAAAAGCCTCACGGCGCGACTTAAGAGAAGACTGACGGCGTGACTTATGAAACGACTGACGGCGCGAATTACCAAAAGACTCACGGCGCGAATTCAGAAAAGACTGACGGCGCGACTTAAGAAAAGACTGACGGCGTGACTTAAGAAAAGACTTAAGCGGCGCGACTTAAGAAAAGACTCACGGCGCAACTTAGCAAAAGACTGACGGCGTGACTCAACAAAAGACTGTAGCGGCGCGAATTAAGAAAAGACTCACGGCGCGACTTGAGAAAAAACTGACGGGCGTGAATTAACAAAAGACTTTAGCGGCGCGACTTAAGAAAGACTCACGGCGCAACTTAAGAAAAGACTGACGGCGCGAAATAAGAAAAGACTGACGGGCATGAATTAACAAAAGGCTTTAGCGGCGTGACTTAAGAAAAGGCTCACGGCGCCACTTAAGAAACGACTGACGGCGCGACTTACGAAAAGACTCATGGCGCGAATTCAGAAAAGACTGACGGCGCGACTTAAGAAAAGACTGACGGCGTGACTTAACAAAAGACTTTAGCGGCGCGACTTAAGAAAAGATTCACGGTGCGACTTATGAAACGACTGACGGCGCGACTTACGAAAAGACTCACGGCGCGAATTCAGAAAAGACTGACGGCGCGACTTAAGAAAAGACTGACGGCGTGACTTAAGAAAAGACTTAAGCGGCGCGACTTAAGAAAAGACTCACGGCGCAACTTAGCAAATGACTGACGGCGTGAGTCAACAAAAGTTTTTAGCGGCGCGACATAAAAAAACACTCACGCCGCGACTTAAGAAAAGACTGACGGCGCGAAATAAGAAAAGACTGACGGGCATGAATTAACAAAAGGCTTTAGCGGCGTGACTTAAGAAAAGGCTCACGGCGCCACTTAAGAAACGACTGACGGCGCGACTTACGAAAAGACTCATGGCGCGAATTCAGAAAAGACTGACGGCGCGACTTAAGAAAAGACTGACGGCGTGACCTAACAAAAGACTTTAGCGGCGCGACTTAAGAAAAGATTCACGGCGCGACTTATGAAACGACTGACGGCGCGACTTACGAAAAGACTCACGGCGCGAATTCAGAAAAGACTGACGGCGCGACTTAAGAAAAGACTGACGGCGTGACTTAAGAAAAGACTTAAGCGGCGCGACTTAAGAAAAGACTCACGGCGCAACTTAGCAAAAGACTGACGGCGTGACTCAACAAAAGACTTTAGCGGCGCGACTTAAGAAAAGACTCACGCCATGACTTAAGAAAAGACTGACGGCGCGACTAATGAAAAGACTGACGGCGCGACTTAAGAAAAGACTGACGGGCATGAATTAACAAAAGGCTTTAGCGGCGCGACTTAAGAAAAGGCTCACGGCGTGACTTAACAAAACACTTGAGCGGCGCGATTTAAGAAAAGACAGATGGCGCGACTTAAGGAAAGACTGACGGCGCGACTTAAGAAAGACTGACGGCGTGAATTAACCAAAGGCTTTAGCGGCGCGACTTAAGAAAAGGCTCACGGCGCGACTTAAGAGAAGACTGACGGCGCGACTTAGGAAAAGGCTCACGGCGCGACTTAAGAGAAGACTGACGGCGTGACTTATGAAACGACTGACGGCGCGACTTACGAAAAGGCTCACGGCGCGAATTCAGAAAAGACTGACGGCGCGACTTAAGAAAAGACTGACGGCGTGACTTAAGAAAAGACTTAAGCGGCGCGACTTAAGAAAAGACTCACGGCGCAACTTAGCAAAAGACTGACGGCGTGACTCAACAAAAGACTTTAGCGGCGCGACTTAAGAAAAGACTCACGCCATGACTTAAGAAAAGACTGACGGCGCGACTAATGAAAAGACTCACGGCGCGACTTAAGAAAAAACTGACGGGCGTGAATTAACAAAAGACTTTAGCGGCGCGACTTAAGAAAGACTCACGGCG